AAGGAACGCACATTACTATGTTCAGAATCTCGGTAACGTCTCAAAATTACACATCATGGACATGTAAAAAAAAACCCAAAAAAACCCCAACAAAAACCAAACCCAGAACAACCCGAAACAAGGAGCGGCTGGGATTTATACACAGCGAGGGGAAACAAGGTACAGAAAAGGTCTCGTTAATGTCACACCTGAAAATAATAATTATAATTAAGAAAGAGAGACTAAGTTCAAACAGCTTCTGCTGTACTACAGGAATCCCCGCTGCGCCTGGTTTGGTTTCCCAAAAATCCTGGCTCTCCGGGATGCTGTGGAGCCCAACACAAGTGTTACACCCACCTTCTGATCACCTCCACTCAGCACGAGCATCCCTTTGCCCTAGCTCAGTATTCCCCCAAGGCAAGAGCTACACCTGCACTCCAATTCACTAAATAGAGGGAGGTGGCAAGGTGGGATTTGGGAGATGCCAGGATGGAATCTTTTGCTTTCAGTCAGCTATGGAATGAAACTGTAGTGTTGTGGAAGGAGAAAACAGCCATCTGCCCCTGACCACTGAGTGGCAACACATTATTCCCACTCCCTGCCCCACACCGGTGGCACTCAATGGGTGGACGCCGGATCCCACCAGCGCAGGAGGAGCAGCGGTGCCAGCTCAACTCTCTCCTGATCAGGTGTGATTCGGATCCCCTCTGTCCACCCAAGCCGGGGAAGCGAGGCTGGTCTGGCCTCTGAGCAGGGAGACTGCCCTAAATGTACCTGGGAGCTGCCCTGAAGGTTGGGAGCCCCATAATTAAGAACAGACTCTTAACTAAAGCTGTTTCGAGCCTTCAGAGCTGCATTTTAAACAGGGACACAAGTGCTAGATGAAATGTTCTGGTTCTGTACCACTCATGCACTCAACACACACTTCAAAATTACCTTTTTCTGTCAAAAAAACAAAACTGATAAAAGAAAGAAAAAAAAAAAGTACTACAATCTCAACTAAATAATAAAGTTGGATTTTAACAGAAGTGTTCCATCCAACTTGGGACACAATTCCTCTACAGAGTGGACTCAAGTGATCCCTCTGGCTTGTTGCATTTCTTCCCTCCATGCCCACCCAGAGTCAATTTCTGTACTTGCGACATTCACTCCTCTCCATTATTTTTAACACAATGCACTTGCTGTGGATTCTTTCAGAGCAAGGTTGATTATGTTCCCATGGATTCAAGTGTCAGGTTCTGGGGGAAAAGCTTAAATTTTCTTACAGAATCACTTGAGCTTCATTAGGGTTTTTCCCAGCCCTTGGCAGCAATGCGGACACACAGGTGCTCAACTCAACTGGCTGGACAGCACCCGAAGTGCAGGAATGTTGTTCCCGCCCGGATGAGTTACACTCCAGCAGCCAGAAACAAGGCAGGACAATCCCGAGTTGAAACTCATAAAAAAGACTTGATTAGACCCACTAGGTAAACAATAAATAAGCTTATTAAAGGTCAACAACAGTGAATACTAATGGCTAGCAGGAGTGAAGGAACAAGCTGTACATCTACTTGAAGATGTCCATGCTCATTGCAGGGGGGTTGGATTAGATAAGCTTTGGAGGTGCCTTCCAACTCTATTCAATGATCATGCATAGTCCTCTCACACACATGCCACCATTTAGGAAACAGAACTTGTTAATCCTTGCAGCAGCAGGAGGAGGGGTACAGAGAGCTGTACACTTTGCTAGATCCCAGTCATCTAGTCCTACCCACCAGCATCACTGCATCCACGATAAACTTTCCAAGAGAAGGTTTTGTCATGACAAGGAGGAAAAAACCCAAACCAACCACCTCCTGAATTGCACTCTGTGGAAGGCAGCCTCCTCCACCAAAAGGAAGAGGTACCCCAGTTTTTGCCACACCAACACTCTTCCTTTGGTGGATCACAGCTATTTTTTGCACTCTCAATTAGATCTGAGAAGCTGAAAAGGTTTCCTCAAGGTCAAGGCAACAGCAGGGTTTATTACAGCTATTTCTTTCTTTCCCTGCCACGGAAAACTGATACCTGCAGGTGAGATGTGTTGGCAACAGCACCAGCAGCTTATTTTTGGAAGCGTGGGTTTCTGTGCTTTTGAGACCTCCAGATTTTTAGGTACAGAAGGAGGATGACATTTCAAGACTGGAACTGGTAGTTTTCTAGTCATGAAAGAAGCAAATTTGGTCACAAGCAGTGGCAGGAGGCCCTGTATTAAAACGTGAGGAGGTTAATGGTGCTCATGGGCCCTCTGCCAGTGTCACACCTTTAGAAGGTGGGTCTGTGTCCTTACAGTGACCAAGGACATCAAGGGAACCGTGCAGAAACTGATTCTGTATTCTACCTTTGCTTCAGACGGCCTTCAGACACACACCTACAGCACCATCCCAGAGCACTTGCACTGAAACCGCATTACCAGGTGAGCCTGCTCACACAGGCAGGAACACTACCAACCACAGACCAACACTGTAGACTACAGTCACCTAATGCAGCACTTCAGACACCCTCATCTTAACCTTCTCCAAATTAAAACACAAAAAAACCCCAAACAAAATCAGCAAGCCTCATATCTGAAAGTAAAGAAAGTCACCTTTGGAGCTAAACAGAGTTTACAATCAGAACTATGGCTACAAACCTACAATTTTCACTGCAGTCTCTTTTGGAATTTAGTGAAAGATGCTATTTCTAGACAACAAGCCATCTAATTAGGCATTTCAAGCTAATCAGGTTACAAAACACCTTTTCAAAGAGTCACAACAATTTAAAAAAAGCCCTCCAACAGCAATTTCATTATGCCTGATTGACACTTCGAGAAGCAGGGCTTGTGCCAAGCAAGCAAGGACACAGATCCTGCTTCCCCTGCCAGCAGCTCTGCAAACACACCCATCTCTACAGCACGAATTCCAGCACTCTGTCAAGTGACACAACACATACATATAGCTGCTGAACTAACATCTGTGGTGTTATACACCTGTGCTGCCTTGAGAAACACGATCAACCATCCCTCCTCTGCTCCACTTCACATTGACAGAGGGCAGTTCAGCTGTTAGCACCAGGGAAAAGGGGCGAGAAGAAAAATTCAGGTTTAATTTTGTTCTACTTAACTGCCTAACCACAATCCTACCACTCACTAATTCTCCACTGAACGTTCATTGCTCAGACTTTCACTACTGCTTGCCTTGTGTTCATAATACTTTGATATAAAACCAGAAGTGTTTGTGAAAGACTCACTAGCAGAGTAAGTCTAAAATCGTATCACGAATAGTTTGCTGTCCTTTCATAGAGTGGGATGAAGGTACATTTGCAAACAGCTTCAGCTGCAGCAAAAGCTTACAGTATTTTGTATTTGCCATTCTGTACATGCAGCACCACCAGAATCAGCTCGTCCATGCTCCAGAGTGTCTCAAACCACCTTCACTGTTCTTCTAGAGAACATTGTGGAAAGCCGGAAATGTCAGGTCTTACCTAGCAGTACACTATGTGGAAAAAGAAAATCATGGTTCAAGCATCAGCCCAGGTTGGACAGTTCCAGGCACACGACTTTTACCCCAGCACGTGCACATGAGCACATCTAAAAGGTGAATAAAGTATCTCCTACTGTACACATGGACTCTCGTGCAGTCACCTCTCGACTCCTCAAACACAATGTTTCAGCCAAAGTCTGTGCCTTATGATCTCCATGCCCTCTTGTACTTGAGGAACAAAGATGATGTTAAGAAAAGGCCACAACTCCTCGTGCAACTTTCTAAAACACCTTCCTTGGGCTCTCAGGTGAGAGTATCAGGTTCTGGAAGCCTAACTACTCACAGAATGAGTGCACGCATTGATGGTAACTATGTGAAAGCTACTTCCTTTAAAGATCCAGATGTTTCTATACTTCCATATGACACTATCTTCCTCCCATCCACTCCTCCTTAGCCTTTTGGACCAGCACTTGTGTCCTACGCTCCATGAAAGGCCAGTTGCCATCACTATCAGTTGCAGTTGTGGAAACAAAAATCACTCTTCAGTGCTACCATTCAAAGCTTGAAGACCCAGACAGGCCAGTTACTGCACTATCCCACAAATAACCATCTTACATATAGAGCAGGCTGAGTGTTCAGTCACCTTCTCCATCACTGTCAGAGCACTGTATTACCTGCATGTCAACACCATCTATACAGTGTTAATTTGGAAGGGTAACAGCTTAGCAGCAGCAAGATAAAATAAAAGGAGTGTTGGAATTTTACTGCATTATTGCTAATAAAAAAGTTGATCAAATGACTGATCAGGATACTTAATGCCCACTGACAGCAGAAGTGTACACTCCTGACAGGCTCTACATGCCTTGTGTCTACACCGTGTCTTTAATCTACTGAAATACTAGTTGTACAGCTCACATGAGTATTTGATCCTGGTCACTATCTTATTCTATCTTTTGAGTGGCAGGGAAAGAAAAGGAGGACATCTTTTCAGAAAAAAAAAAATAAATAAAAAAAAAAAAATCCACAGTCACGAAAGCAAGATAGTCACTAGAAGGTGACACCACTGACTGGTGTCCTTCGATTGTCCAAGACTATGCTCTGAAGATGCTTTACATAAGATGAGCAAGATGTCGAAAACAAGGCCAACTGTGGTATAAGATGTAATCTCCCTTTAATTTCCTGCCTCCACTTCATCCAGCCACAGAGGATGACTAGATTTCAGTATGAACCATTACCTAAATCATACAGTTGGTATGCAGATACACGTCTGTCTTTAAAAATTGACTTAAAAACTGCTTGAGCTGCAGGTCATATCAGTCTGATTTGGAGAGTGAAGGCAGTTCCAACAGTACAATAGAGACTTGTCTACAGGCAGGTAAATGAGAGTCTGCTAACAGAGGGGTAACAAAAGCTGTTGCTGGCTGGGCTGCCAATGTTGCACACAAACTTTTACAGGATGAAGATGCTGTGGGTGAGATCCAGGATGGGAAAATTGAGCCAACACCTGCTGCTGTTCTAATTTTTTTTTTTCTATTTTGTTTGTTTTTATTCTCCTCTCACAAGAGGGGGTTGGTTGACTATACAGAGGAGGGCTGTACAAAACTGGGCACTGGGCAGGCATTTCTTCAGCAGGCAATCCAGGCTCTACCTATCCTTGAGCTCTCTTGTTACCCGCTTGGTGATGCGTCCACACATCAGGCCGACGAGGAAGAGTACACAGATGCCAACTGTGATCACAGACAGTATGTAATTCTTGGATGGAGAGGTCATAACTTGCATGGCAAGATCAGAAAAGCCTTCTGCTGGGGCAACCTGGAGGTGAGAAGGGAATAAATGAGCCAAGCTGCAAGCCTCATGCAACCCTTAGCCCTGGCATTTATCAGGTTTAGTCCCTGGTGCTGCTATTGCCTCCTGTCATCATCAGACTTGGCCTGAACCTCAAAGCAGCAGGCCTGTAATGAATCACCTGAAGGAACTACTGCTCAGCAGAAAGCTTTGTAACAGGAAGCTCTGCTGAGCCCATTATACTGCTCCAGACCATCTCTACAGGAAACCAAGCCTTGGGTGCACAAAAAACAGTTTAATTCTGCACTGTGAAGTCTGCTGAGAGAGTAACAAGTTCAAAAAAGGAGACCCGATTTCAATTTTTTTGGACCAAACTCGAAATGTTAAACTTCCTTCAGGGACAAGAATTTCATTGCAGTTGAAGTTTTTCCATGAACAGCTTGCAACAGAAAGATACAATGCAAAAAGAAAAGGGAAATGCAGTACATACCTTTGCAGCATAGCTCCACATTTCAATACGATCATTAAGGCGTTTCTTGCATTCAGGCTGCAACCTCACACGTTTATCTTCCAGAGCTTCCATTAAGCATGACATTTCTGTAATGCACAGAAGATGGTGTTACAAAATGGAAGCAGGGGCTTCAGCAACATGCTACCGCAAGGCTGCTGGAAAGGGCCACTTCAATTAAGGCTGACGGTTACACAGCTTTCTAAACAGACCAGCCAGCCCAACAGGCTGTATATGAAGTCTTATTATACCCTTGCAGTTTCACTAAGATCCATGATTAATAGTACATTTTGAGATGCAAGGAATTTTGACTCACAAAAAGAAATTTCAGTACATGTAAAATTATTTATAAAGTCTTGTAAATTTGCACCTTCAATGAGCTGTACTTTAAATTCCACGCCACTATCCCTTAGAGAGAACCAAGAACAAATTCAGATCAGGAAAAAAACAGTGTTATCTCTTCAGCCTTCCTAGGAGTTTCTTTTGATCAAGAGAACGTTTTGGAAAGGTTTCACTTCCTCAGTTTTCACACAGTCCTGTGAAAAGGAAATGGGATCACAATGCTCTGGGTGCCTACAGAACAGCTTGGCTAACTCATAAGCTCTTTTATATGCTCAGATGAGACAACAGCATAAAATTTTGTATTTTATACTTAGGCTGCTTTACTTGAATAATCCCTAACTGGATATTTTCTGCTTTGCAGTAAAGAGGTATTTTGTTCATAGCAAACAGACTGCAAACTTTAACTGCAGACTTTTTAAACACAACTGTCAGTTCAAACACCCAGATGCAGATCCCTCTCTAAGCTTCAGACTTCTGTGTATCTTCAGCACAAAAACGTCAGAAGACACATCAAAAGCATTACGACAAGACAAGAATAAACAAAGGATATCCAGAATTTCAGAAAGGCATTCAGCAATCAGAAAGAAAGATAATGATCAAGAAAATACTTGGCTGCTATTTTTAATGCCAGATAAACTCAGAAATATGGAAAGTTCAGAACCTTTCCCCCTCTCCCCCACTACCTTTCCTTAAACAGCCATACACACTATCCAGCTAGCTACCGTAACGGCATTAACAAAGTGCAAGAGCTTGACCTCAAACAGGACAGGAATGGGTGAGAAAACAAATAAATGAGCTTTCAAGAGGTTGAACTCAGTCTTGGAGGGCTCAGAACAATTGCTGAAGTCTCAAAGCCTTTAGTTGCTATGTGACCTTAGAAAGTGTAGTAAGGATTACCTACCCTCTGTGATATTGGAAAGGAAAAAACTGGTATGTTTAAGCAGAGAAGGAAAAAAAAGATCAAAGGACTTCAGTTTGATTTTGTCAAAAATACTGAAACAAAGAAGCCAACCATGGAAAAAGACTGACACAAAGAAAGAAGGACCAAAGGGATCAGCTAAGAAGGAATCTCGGGAAACCAAACTGATTTGCTTCTGTAAAAGCAGCAGAAACTTCTAGGGAAGTTTCTAGGACAGCCTGATATAACATTGTCATTAAGAAAGCTTGGGAGCTGTATCCTGTGGGAAGCTGATACAGGATGTGACATAACCTCACTGAAAAAGGAGTCCATGTATTTCAGCCCATGTGTATTAAGAGCTCCTTTTCAATGGGATTTCACCGAAGGAAGGATTTTATAGAAGTGTTAACAGATCTTGCATCACGCACTACTGTCAGTAATCGTATGGAACTTCAAATATACTCATTAAATCTGCAGATAAGGCTGCAGATTTGTATCAGGACTGAAGAACAGGTCCCACCTTAGACACCAGGAAGAACTGCTTCTTGAAACCCACCTTCTACTGGCATCTACTGCCTCTCCAGCTCTTCCACCTTATTACCCACCAAGTGGGTAAGTAATAAAAGCGGGCATATCCTGTACTTAAGATAATGCTGGCAAGAAAATGCCGCTTAAGGCTCCCAGGACCAAGAAGTTCTACAAATAAAGAATGAGCACTTACGGCGTCCTCTCCCTGGTGGAATGGCAGCACAGTGGTGCTTGATATCCAGGGCACAGGCTGTGTGGAGCACTGGGTCAACAAATATATCTGCTTTGCTTTCCTTCAGCATATTGAGCACTTCCTAGGAAGGGGGAAATTACAAGTACATCTCAAAATGGAGAGAGAACAAAACTCATATTGCTTAATGTTTCAGAAAGATGCATCATCTTTTTAAATCCAGCATTATGACAAAAACCACCACTGTCCCTGGATGAGGCTATGAATGCTGCTTTAATGGCCTGGTTTATAAGGGTTACCATAGTTATGGTCATAAAAAGATCATATTAATCTAAAATGCTGATGTTAATATGCCAAGGTTACTTCAGCTAGAACTGAAATAAGGTGCTGTAGCCATGGAGCAATCCATACAGCCCTTGATTACAGCCAGGGCCTAAGCCATTCCCAGCACTCAGGAAGCCTGTTATGCAGACAGCAACAGAAAACAAGATTAGTAACAGGGAACTTTGGCAACCACCATCAAGAGAGGATCCAAGCCTGGAACCGGGAAGAAGACACTATCAGCACAATTTTCACTGGTAAATTGAAGTCGAATTGAATCACTGCAGGCCAAAACTGAGACGTGTAAGGGAATCTGCAGAGTTCTGGTTTCATACTAGCTAGAACATGGCATAGGCTGTGATCTGGAAAAAATCACAGATTTCTGCAGGGATGGGATGCCTTTTAGAGCACATTCAACTTATTTCCCTTACCTTCTTGCACATTTCAGTTTTTATTTTCAGCAGATTCACTTTCAGGCATTCTTCCACCTGCCCAGTCTGCTCCTGAGCCGCTGCTTCTTCCGCGCACAAACTGGAAATCTATTTGAAGCAGGTATTTTAACATAAATAGCTCACAACAATCATTCTGCCCTTTAGCACAAATATACCTCAATACATTAATTCATCACTGGGTGCAGCTAGAGAACACATGATGAGATACCTGCCCCCTTCCCAAATTCCCAGAGCCAAATGCAGGCTGGCTCATGCAAAACGCACACTCTTTGAAACCAAGCAGTACGAAGTCAACAGTACTGTACTGAGAAGGAAGGCAGGGAGGGAAACAGCATAGGAATAACATTACAGATGAACTAAGGAATACTTGAGGCATGGCTGATATGGCTATCAAAAGCGAATGCTCAAATATCTGACTGTATTCCAGTTAAGGTTGACAACACCAGAGAATAACATTTATTTCTAACAAAGGGAAAGCAGTATTTTTCCATAGTCACAAGTACTGACGAGATCCCAGATGAAGAAGTTAACTTTGTACTTAATGAAGCACAGGAAACTATCATTCTTGCACAGTGGCTAAGTGTCACAAGCAGAGAACTGACTAGCTAGAAGCAGGTCAAAGGGGTTTTATTTTTGTGGTTTGAGTTTGTTGGGATTTTAATTATCAGGAAAGCTCATGTTTTAAGAAACATGAATCTGTTACGTTAAGGGTTTTTACCCTGAAAAAGTAGCTGTGGAGCTACTTCTCCTACCTCGTCAGAGCAGTGCATCTGGAGTTGGGGATCCAGCCGATAATCAAGAGCTGATTCCTGGATTATCACTTGAATTTGGTCCTCGCAGTCTTGAGAGAGACGCTATTAAGCGGAAAAAGTCATTAACCCACTCCATGACCTATTTTCATAAATCAATCACCTTGCATTTTAACCTATGTATCTTGTATATTCATACAGAAGCCTAAAAACTCACTTATGTACAGCCTGTTACATACATGGAAGACACCACAAGCCCAGGCTGGATGTGTAATTCAACAACTGTTGCTCAGCACAATCCTGCAGTTTCTCATCTGCATGCACCAGCTCTGCTTACCTGGTCCGCATATTTCAACTTCAGGCATGAGATGACTTGCCCTTCCAACTCAGTATCATCCTTGGCTCTATTCAGGATATTCTGGCAAAATTTTGGGATGTCTGCTTTGCATGCCTTCCTGAGCACTGGATTTAAGCGGTAATCTGACCAGGAAAGATGACAGAACTTCACTAGAGTACACAAATATCTTCTGATTACAGAACATAACACTCCAAAAGGGATTGGACACATATTTCCTGGATGACATTGTACCACCAGTGAATTTAATTTTGGGTGTAAAAGTGTTTTTCCACAACAGAATATTAACTTGTGAGGTAAGAGCAAGTAGATCAAATAACACCTGCTGACCCTTAAGAACTAGACTGAATAAAATCAGTGTGTGCACTGACAGCCTTGAAGGAATTGTAGAATCCCAGACTGGTTTGGGCTGGAAGGGACCTTAAAGGTCATCCAGTTCCAACCTTCCACAGGGACACCAAGCAGGGACACCTTCCACTAGGCCAAGTTGCTCCAAGCTCCATCCAAACTGGTCTTGAACACTGCCAGGGATGGGGCAGGGATTGGGCAACCTGTACCAGGGCCTCACCACCCTCACAAGAACAAGACAAAGTGAACACTCTTCCAGCCATGCAGACGACTCAACAGCTCAGTAAGTAAAGTATTTTTTCAGAAAAGGATACCTGTATTCTGTGTTATCTGGCGCTTGGTAATCATTTGCTTGCATTTAGGATCCATCACTTCACTGTTCTTGTTTTGTTTCAAACACTGCAACATATTTTTTGAGTCTGCCTCTGGACAAAACCGCTACAAAACAAAAACGCCCCAAGTTTCATCACTAAGCACTTGAAAATAAGAATCCCAACCAATTATACTAATGAAAGAGAATAGCCTGCCCAACCCAGAGGTATACAGACACACGCACTAGCTCCAACACCTCCTGTTAAAAAGAACAGTGCTACTCTATATAAATTGCCCATGGGCATGAACATCTCTGCTTATGGACCGAGCCATACAGTCTCAACTGGCTTCTAGGCACCAGCCTTTGTTGTCAGTATCAAAAGCAATTTGCCTTTATTTTCTGTTCTTAAGTTACAGCACACTTTGCAGGAAATAACCACCAAACTAGGTCTCATACCCAACTCCCCTTTATTTCAGAAACTGCAAAGGGAATCTCTTAGGTCTACACACAAATCATTGTTCTGTGTAAATTCTGGCTGGACAATGTTACAAGTAAAGACTACATGAGTAACACTCAAGACAAAGATAGATCATATAGAAGGAGAAAACAGAGAAAAGCTCACTGATGCTAATTTGCCCATTCCCACCCTGAATCAGATAGTCAAAAGTGAACCAGCTTACCCAAAGTCCAGACCAAGGCACTAATTTTCTTTTGTTAGAAACTAATCCTGTGGGTGTAAGACAAGGCTGTTGCATCTTCTGCATACAGACCACACAGACTAGTGTTCTGGAGCTTGCAGTTCTGGTTACTGTTCAAGAATGCCTCGTATCAACACTCACTGCTGTTTTCCAGTGGTACCACCTTAAGCCTTTAAGCCAGCATTTCTGATTTTAAGTTTTGTATGAACTTGTCTGCTTTATCAGTTTGATGAAAGTCTATGTGCACCAGGTCAGGAGTGAACTGAAGATGTTACTCCTCTCCGTAGTTGCAACTTCACCTTTGATAAAAGCCAATCCAAACTGACTGGATGAAAACTGTATTATAAGCCTCAGCACAGACTTGCTCCACAATTCTGCTGGCAGTTAGGAAGACATTTATTAGTGCACAGGCTTTGATCAGATATTTGGAGGAAGTTTAAAGAGAAGCTCAAAACTGATAGAGCTTTTATATTTCAACCTTACCCTCTTAACTCAGCAAACTACCATTACCTTAATCATTTGCTTGCAGACTCTCATGAGTGTGTAGTCCAGTTCTGGATCCATCATCTCTGTCTCCTGCAGTTTAAACACCTTCTGGTGGCACCGGGTACTCAACTGCTTTTTGATTTCTTTCAGGCATTCAATAATCTATAACAGTATTACAACCATAACAGACACAATGTTGACATGAGTCTGTCATATGCTGCTGAAAAAGCACAGCTACCCGTTCCCCTAATGGCCATCTTCACCCCATTTGTGCAGTTATGTTACCAGTGCATACATTTTATCAAGTCATTATCAACGCTTATGTCTAGTACTTGCTTTAGGCTCATCTTTACTCACAAAAACTTAATGAGATGAAGAAAGTCACCTGGACCTACTCCAAAACCCCACACCTTATCTTGCAGACATGAATGCCTAAGAAATGTTTAGCAACATCTGCAGTAACCAACTGCTAATAATTTAAAACTAGCATTAACTGAAGAATGAAGTGTTCACAGCACTGCATTCACCCAGTATTAATGCTTGTGAATCAGTGGAAAAAAAACCCCAACCAAACCCAAAACGTTTAATGTTCTGAAACACTGCCAAAAGACTTCAGTAACATCAAACTGAAAATCCGAAGCTGCAGTCATGGGGCAAAAGTGTTCTTCAAAGGTTTTCTGAAGTGAAAGTACAAATTAAATGTGAAAATTATTAATAAAATGCCTTACCTGAGCATTGCCATAGGGCACGTTTTGGCAGTAATTCTTGATGTCACTTTTACAAGCCTCATACAGTTCTGGTTCAAGTCTGATATCCTCAGTCTGCAGGATAAATTACAGTATGAATATGTATGATTCTGAGGACTATTTTACTTTGTTAATCTATTAACTAGAGCCCTCTACTCACAAAAAGCAATTCTCACAACAGGCAGGCCAGTTTCTTTGAATTTAAGGGTCTTAGCTGTGAGAAGCGATGCTAGTGGGAAATAAAAATTTGAAAATTCATCCACTGACTTTTCAAAACGAAGAAAGGATTTAAACCAAATTCTGTACGTGATAAGTTTTTCCTATTGCTCCTCCTAAGAGGGCATCAACACAGATGTCCAAGACAACTAAAATCTTTTCATGTGAAACCTAAAGGACATTATTAGTCACCCATCTATTGGAGGATTAGGAGGATGTGAATGAAGTTTCCTGCTTTTAAGTGATGCCAAACATTTAATTCTTCCATACAAAGGCAAGAGTGCTGCCTCTTCTTATACAGGTCTACTTAAGGCGAAGCTTTAACACTCAAACGGTATCTACTGCACAAAGACCTGAAGAATTTATTGCTGTAAGCACTGCAGCTGGAAGCTGAGAGGCAGCTTTGCCTACCAGAACAAATACTCCTCCTATTTATCCACTGAGCAACTTGGAGCAGCTGGAGTCGAGTTGTTTCATCTATGCTTGTCTCCTCAGTCTGTAAAATGAAGCTTTTATTCTCTCCTGGAGAATTACATGCCATCAGCATGTATATTAGGTAGCATGTTGCTACCTAACACTAAACATAATCATTTCTAGCTGAAATTCCAGTGACCATTTAGCTTGCCTTAGCCTACATGAAAATGTAGGGCATTAAAGTAGACAATTGAAGTCTCTTATTGTAAAAAGAGTGGAAAAAATAAGTTAGATACATCTTACAAATGAGCTTCCTTTTTTTTTTTTTTATCCTCAGGGTGGACAAACCAGGAAGCTTTAATTGAAAGACCTTGCTAGGAGACAGATCAAGAGCTTCATGCATGTTTACCATCTCTAGCTCCTCAACACGCAGCTGTTTGCGGCACTTCAAAGACACCCTGTGTTCCTTGGCATCCTGCAAAGTATCATTGCGCACAGTTGTGCTCAGACAGATCACAACATCCACCCTGTGGAAGAGAAAACAGCTTTTTACTCATACACCTTTCACTTAGGTCAGCCAAGATTGGTGTTGGACACATCAGAGAAACTCACCCCAAGAATCCAAACATATGAATTACTTGTACATCTGTGCTTGCTTGTAGCCTGCTACAGCAATGTGTAGAGTAACTGGACCACAATCAAAACCTAAATCTGATGTTATTTTATTAGAGTCTAGATCAGCAGACAGGAAGATACTCAAAATCCCACCACACTACTGGCCAGCAAGACTTCTGCTCTCCAGGCATGTGAGCACTTGAAAATCTTTACTTCACTTCAGGAATAAATGAAGGTGAATATATACATGGCATTGCAAGCAATCCCACTGCATTACGGGAAGGGCATGTCTATCATAAAATGAAAATAGTCTTGCTAGCCATGAACAGGGTTGACCTTGTGTGCAATTTAGCCTTACATCATTGCAGTAGGCCATTAAAAAACCTCTTACACTGAAATGTATAAACCAGCTAAAAACAAGGGGATGTTTTCCCTTCCCTGATCAGCAACTGGAACAATAGTAAAACATCTTAGAAGACACTGAATCTAGAGAGGATATAAAACATCTTGGGACATGCAGTCCATTAACTGTAATCATCAGCTATTTTCAGAGCATGAAAAATAGAGGACAGGCTTATATGAAAGAGTAAAGCAGAAGTAATTTTAAACAGGCAGTGCCTCTACCTGTTGTCTAAGCATCTGCAGAACACAGTCATTAAGGGAAAACCCACAGAACAATCAGTCTTTAAAGGAAATTCAGCATTTTCTGTCCTATCATAAAATATCCTGTAACTTTATTATATGTTTATACAACCAGATTGCTGTTTGGTCAGGTGCTACATACTTTTTTTTGATGTTGGGACAAAGTTTCAGTACGTCTTCCTTGCAAGCCATTTTAAACTTGTATGAGAACCTAAAATCTTTCATTTGAACCTGCAAGACAGAAATGAGGAGAAAAAAAAATATCCCACTTTGGTCACTTGGAGGAAAAAGAAAATGGAAAGTGCTCCTTAAAGAATGTTTGTTGAATCACACAATCAGCAAATGCTTTTGTTCACAACTTATTAATGTGAAAGCAAGGGGAATGCTGCACTGCTGAAGAAGTTGGGACCTTATCTACCAACACCAAGGAGGAAGGAAGGCCTGAAAATAAATCTCTCCCAGAAGGGACCATTTACGACGAGGCATGCAAGCACAACTGTCTGAATTCACAAGAGCAATTTAAATACAGTGGGAAATCAATCTTGAAGCAGGAGGGGGTTCATAATTAACTAATTCCTGTCAACACCCTCAACAAACAGAACAGGCTCCCACTTACAGCAGAGAAAAGCTTTGCTTACCAGCTGGAAATGAGTAACTCCAATTGCACATTTTTCATTCATTTCCTTCTGATGTTTGTTCTGGATCAGACACTCCATCAGGTCCCCAGAATCAATCTGGTTATCTGCAACCTCCTGAAGAAGAGATGAAAGGCTTAAAAATGAGTTACTCTTACAAGTCATGATTTTTATGCTCCCTTAGTCCACTGTGACCAGGAAATGACAGAACTTACAGTCCCACTCTCTGTTGTGAGATTACCCTCAGCATTAACCAACCACCCTATAGCTCTACCATCCAACTCTACCAAACAGCTAGATTTGTACATATAGTTCAGAAAAAAAATATCTCTAAAGCACAAGCACACTTTAGATTCAGGAGAACATCCTGCAGAGACTCAGTGCTTACAGGAAATATTACAGTTAGGTGCCTTCATTGCTATTTAACTATTCAATCCTACAGCAATGTAAGGAGTTATTGAAACTGCAGCTGCACAGAGCGGAGCAGCTCAACACACTGCTTGCAGGCAGGAAAAGAAGATTAGTTTTAAACTCACTGTAAAGAGTGATTTTTCCAATCACAGGGCAATTTTCACATTCAGACTCTAACTTTTATGCTAGGGCTCTAAGAACAGCAGAAGCACTAGATGGAACTAAGAATTTTTATTTTAGGGTTGGTTTTTTTTTTCCTATTAAAGACTTATAACTGCTTACCTCTGATTTTACTTTTAGGCATACCAAGTACATCAAGAACTAATACTAAAAATCCAACCTTTCCCACAAAGTACTTTCCCCCAAAGATACTCACACTGTCACAGATACTCACATGACAGAACGTCTGGATAATGGGCTCACACGCTCTCATCAGCAAGGCTTCGATTTGAATGTCCTGTAGAAAACATGCAATATTTAATTTTCACAGTGAATGGACAAGAAAAAAAGGCTCTGAGGAAAGAAACCAAAGCCTGTGGTAAGAAGTTAAACTCAGCCCAGTTTACAGGACTTGGACAGATGCAATCCATATGATTTCACCCTCCAGTTCTGGAAATCCTAGGGTTCACTCTTGTGAACAAGATGGCAAATGTAAGACAAGCCTTCAGCTTAAGAAAGCGCCTGATCTCCACAGAAAGTCACTGACTGGGTAATTCATCCAATCTCCTCTGAAGTGGGTGTTACAGCACTAGAAATCACCTTACACCTAGGTAGGAGTTACACAGTTATGACAGTTCTGAGCAAAAACCATTCTGTAATCAATGGAGAGAAGCTTGCCCTACCACATAATGAAAATTTTAAGAGATATACACAACAGTTTGGGGAAAGACAGTCAAATATGCAGCTTTATAAAATAAGTAAAGCTGCTGACCTCACTGAAAAGCTCTAATGATGTACCTGGCAGTTATTTCTTGCAAAATTTTCGGGAGGGAAGTTGCAATATGGTTCCAAAACTACTTGCAAGCAAGACCAAAAAATGAAGTCTCATGACATAGCTGGACTTGTACTAAAGGTAACTGGGTTACCCGTGCAAGAAATCTTGGCTTTGGTACCATAACCAGCTTTTTAAGCAGGAGAAATTACATCACCATCCTAAAATCCTGAACTGTTTTTCACTTCTCTTCCTCAAAAGCCCCCATGAAAACTTCCACTGCATGGGGCAAAAAGGATGGTAGGTCTGATGCCCAGAGAGCTGAATTTCTGCACTATTCTAACCTCATTTGTATCCCCATCACTATCAAAATGACATGCTTGACCAGACATGCTCAACTATTCCCTTTTCCCATGCTGAAAACAACTCACCTCAGACTCCAGCTCAGTGAGGTTTCCCACTGTGTCTCTGCAATCAGACACCAAGTCATCAAGGTGGTCCTGAAGGCATTCTAGCTCCTACAAAATCAGACATTTTAGTGTGTGATCCAAGAATCCACACTGAAAACATGGGTTTGAAATATTGTTAACACATGTGAAGCCTCCTTGTAAAGTCCTAAGTCTCATTTAACTCCAACTCTTCTACTGGCACTCCCAGAACACGTATAGGTAGTAATGATTGAGAATGTTGGTCTAGGGTCTTACTGCTTGTTTTCAAAAGCTGTATGACAAGCTTTCACTTCCAGAATATCACATTTTGTTTTCCCTTTCCCTAACCTTAATGTAGTTTGTTAACCCAAATTACAACCTACAACGGGCACTTCAAAAAGACAAGGGTGCATGCTTTGCTGTTGGTGCATGCTTTGCTGTTGGTGCATGGTCTGCTGTTGAATGGCTCCTTCCCTGCTGTTCTTCCCTACCAGAACACAGCAATTTAACTTGAAAGTTTTTGTTGAAACTTTGTTAAGTAGCAGCAGATGTTAGTTCAGTTCTATATAAACACAGGAAGCATGTCAGTATTTACCAAATGGAAATGGGGTAAAGTTTATGTGAGAAACGTCAAGCCTGTAATAAGAGTATTACAAATAAGAGTAAGGGTGGGGTTGCTTCATTAAAGTCCTTTGTGTTAATTATCCCCTTCCCCCTTCTCTTTTGACTACACATTTGACCTACTGAAGCCATGCAGAAGGTGCAAAGCTTCTTCGTATCACCTCCCTCTCTAGCATAGATATTTTAAACTGCACTCATTTTTAACATATTCTCAGCTACAAACAGACAGCTAATGAAGATGGCCCTTTATCCCCTTTTAGCCCTTCCCACCCCTGAAGGTACATGAAGTACCAGTGTTACTGTGTGCAGTACCTGCCCTGTCTCAGTTTTTTCACTGCACCATTTCCCCAAGTCAATCATGCACTTGTCCTGGAGTGTTGGGTCAAGCTTCACATCCATGGCACGCTGATGGAGGATTCTCTGGACCTCTGCTCTGCACTCTCGTGATAGCTGAAAAGAGGGCAAAGAGCCTTCAGCATACAGGGTCTCCAAATCCACACAATACAAACAAGATGAGGTCAGGTAAGGTACTGAGAGTGATCATGAATGCCATCAGCAATCCCAGAAAAGCACAGAAGTCCCGTACTGCTCAGCACAGGCCTGCTGGGTCCGCCACAAGCAATTCAGGCTCCAAAAGAATAATTTAGTTTGGATGGAGGGTCCTTTCATTCCACCAAAAAGAGTTTTATATTCTTAAGCCTTCACTTTGCTTTTGAAATGAGATGTCGAAGCAAGTCCCTAGATCATCTGCTGCAGTGCCCCCTTGGTTCAAGGCACAGTCTGTTTCTGGAGAAGCCAAAACAGTTCATGCCTTCAATAGCAAAAGGGAAGCACAGAATGAAACAATATAGACCAGCTATAATTTCTTCTCAGCAATTCCTACTGCAGCACATCAGAGCCAGCATTTGCGAGACTGAAGAAACCAGCTGTAGTAAACCAAGGGATACTGGTACGGTGCTTGTCAGACCTAAATGCACTGGTTGAAGCTGAAAATCTCATACATATAAAACTGCAAACCACTGCATGTCACCTAACATTTTGTGGACAGCACTGGATGAGTTTGTTTTCAAAGGCTAAACTTCAAAATGACAGCTGCTCCCTTAGTCTTTTCTCCACAAGAAAAATACATTCAAAACCCTTTTTTTCTCTAATAGATTATTTACAGGGTGGCTACTGATTTCTTTGGTCAGCAGTAACATAAAACCAAATTAAAATAGTCTCAACTCAGCAGACTAGGAAACTTCATTTAAAAAAATATTCCTAAAAGAAAGATGCTTTCAATCAATACTTCACCTCTACCACAAAAGACATTTTTAATCAAAAATGTAGAAATTAATCTGTAAACCAGAAATTGTGTAAACCCAACAGCTCCTATGGGGTGGGCACACAACAGTGTCAGAAGAAATGGAACCGAGTACCCAGCTGTTTTCAGGGGAGTGCCCTGATAAAAGCACGAGAGGGCAGCAAACTTATGAAGAGTAGCTCTGAATCAAACACATGTGATGGTGGATCTCCAGACTGCATGGCAGCAAGTCAGATCCCTACTGTCTTCTTCAAAGTCAGCATAAGCACATTCACCCACACAGTATGCTCCAAAGAACTGAAAAGATGCTTTGTATCAGTAGGAAGGATTTAATACAGTATAATCTGAAGTTGTACTCCAATCAAAACATAATTAGAAACAGCCTAGGAAAGCTGGGCCTGGAACTCCTCTTTGCATAAAACCAATTTTGCTGCTATGCTAGCTACATACAAGGAATCACATTCCTCTGGAAAGACAAGGGGGAGGACTTGCACTTTGTCTAAACAGACACACAAGAGCTGTTGTCAGCACAGTCTCCCCTGCGGGCAACTGTCACATCTTAATGTTGGCTATTTTGCCTTACCAGAACAACACAGACCTTCAAGACAACCCACTTCAGGAGCTGGGCATCTGAAGTAGTGCAAGTACTACCTACAGGTAAGTGTTTTTAAGTAGCTTTTGTGAGTTCTTTCAGTTTTAACACAGCGTACCCAACTTCCAAACATATGTGCAGCTCTTCTATCAAAGAAGTGGAGCACTTACCCTCCTTCCCTGCTCCTCTGTCCGGTATGCATGCCTGTACAAGCAGGAGAAAACAGCCCCTGGAGGCATCAGCTCACTAGTCTCATTCCAGCCGTGAGTATGGCAGAGACGGGAGGCATCTCCCTGACACTTGCGGTAAAGGACTGTATCCAATCTGCAACGAAAAGTTATCATTGGCACTTTGTTGAAACCTTTAATGGTTTTCATATTCCTAAATGCTGTTGAGGCAGAAAAATCCACTAGTTTCATATACCACATCATTCAGCAGAAGTGACTACTCAACTGCCCAAAGAAGCTGTGGTTGCCCCATCCCTGGCAGTGTTCAAGGCCAGCTTGGACAGGGCTTAAAGCAACCTGGTCTAGTGGAAGGTGTCCCTGTCTGTGACAGGGGATTGGCAGTGGGGAACTTTAAGGTCCCTTCCAACCCAAACCAGTCTGTGATTCTAACTGAACCAACACGTGGCAAAATGCCTGTCACTGCACTTGGACTCAACTCCCTGATCTTGCAAAAAAAATTTTGGAAGATCTTTAATTACAGATTAAATCTTCTAGAATTCTCTTCTGCAGCATGCAAGCCAAATGCTGACACATGAGCAAAGAAATAATTTCTGTGAGATCCTAAAGCAGCAGAAAGGCAGGAGTGTATCATGTTTTCATTATGTAATACTTGTGTGTGCTTTGTTCTGCTGCCATTTTGAAAAGCCAGTTTCATAAAAATCTACGATGAATTATTGTCTGCTCTGAATTTGGGCTCACTGAAGACTCAGCATCCCTTGCTTTTGCAAGTGCGGATCTTTTAAGATGATGTCTAACTACATTAAAGCTAGGTGAGATATTGCCAAATTTCCAAAATAAATACTTTGGATTTCTGCAACACTTTAGAAGGCAAACATCAACTGATATCAGCAGACATCGTTATATAGATAACGATAAAAACAGTAGGAAAACCATTCCTATTCCATGCATCAGCTCTAGGTGCACAGTTAATAAAACAGCTTTTATAAGCCAGCTCTAGGGAACAGTGATTAAACAAGAAAGATGAGCTAATGTTGCCCAGCCTGCAGTATGAATTATAATTATCTTTCATTCCAGAGAAATGCACTCGAGCTTCCTTCTTCCAATCACTTAAGTTTGGCTCAAGCAATAAGTTACCTGCTGGAAACATGGTACAGACAGGAGAACCAGCAATGAAGGGAAACGGCAAGAGAAGGAAAATTTGCGTACCTATGGAGACAGTTATTGAGATGAACAAACAAACAGCCACAAAGCCCTAAACTTTCTGGTCCATGAAGCCCCAAGTATTTCAAAAGCAGAAGGTCCACAGAGCAAGTCAGCTCTTAACTACTGGCAATGCTGCCTTGTAGATACAGCTGTGAGTCAGATTTTCTTACTGTTTGACTTGAATTACATCTGCTCTACAGGCTGTAATCACACCTAGAGAATTTGAAAAAAAGGTAGAAATGGAAGCAGGGAGCCGCTAACACAGTGACTCTTTATTATACTTAGTAGCTTGGTTTTCTTAACTCTCCTACTGTAGCACTCAGAGCAGATAAAACTGGCTGCCATCTGTCCAGAACACAACCTTCCACTTCAGTATTGCCAGAGGGAATTCTTTTAATTTAGGATGCAGTGGATGTCAGATCTCAAACTTGACACTTTTTATTGGAAGAAGGAAGATGGAGTGCTTGCATCATTTCTAAGTGAATATCTGATATAAGTGGGCATCACACTTTCTAACCATCTTTTGCTTCTACTGTTCTAGACAGGCATTAATGCCCTACAGACCTGGCATGCTTAAAAGTCTTCTTTTGAACAAGCATAAGCTGTACTGTTTTACATGGAACTGCTAATGCATACAAACACTACCAAGCATCAAGTGAGGATAAATCTTTTTTTACAGTACTCACTTCCAATCTCGAGATATGAAATACTGGAGCTCCAGGAGCCTATGCTCACAGTCCTCTACCATCTTCTCAGTATACAAGTGCTCCATCAGGCAAGACAGAATCCTGCAAAGAAAAGAAAGATATTAGGCAAAAGACTATTATAATCAAGCTGAGCTTCCTTGTAACAGTTTGCATTGCTAAATCAGTCTTTCCAATAAGCCATAGATAAGATGTAGAAACAGTGAAGATCTTTCTCTTCCTCCAAGAAGATTACATCTAAAACAATTGTATACCACATTTGTACCCTCTTAAATTCCACTGGTTTAGTTATCTCAGCAGGTCTGATGTACCTGTCCTGGCTTCAGCTATAGCAGTCATTTTTTCTCCTTCTTAGTAGCTGGTGCAGTGCTGTGGTTTTGACTTCCAGCCTGGGAACAACGCTGATAACACTGATGGTTTTAGTTGTTTCATAAGTAATGTTTACCAAGGACTTTCTCAGTCTCACGGTCTGCCAGGAAGGAGGGGAAGCTGGGAGGAAGCAGAGACAGGACACCTGACCCAAGCTAGCCAAAGGGGTATTCCATACCACAGCACATCATGCCCAGTATAGAAACTGGGGGGAGTTACCTGGAAGGCCCAGATCGCTGCTCAAGTCGGGCTGTGTGTCAGTCGGCGGGTGGGGAGCAATTGTATCATCTCCCCTTGTTATTTCCCTTAGCATTATTATTATTGGTGGTAGCAGTAGTGGTTTTGTATTACACCTTAGTTACTGGACTGCTCCTATCTCAGCCTATGGGAGCTACATTCCTCTGATTCGCCTCCCCATCCCTCCGGGGGTGGGGGGAGGAAGAAGGTGGGGAGTGAGCAAGCGGCTGCGTGGTTCCAAGTTACCAGCTGGGCTTAAACCACGACAGTACCACAACACTGTAAGGAATATTTTATATGAAGTCTGGCTGAGGAGACAGTATGTATGAGACCTAAAGGAGACAACTGTCTATGCATATGGGTTTGCTTAATTGGCCTTTCAAGGCTTGTTACTTTGCTTTGTGATATTGCTCAAGACAGAGCTCAATTCACACCTCCAACCCTGTATCAATTGCTAATTTAGAGTCCATCATTTCTGGACAAGTTCTAGTATCTATACTGGTCAACTACACAACCTTCATGGGTGCCCAAGAGAAACCAAGATGTGTTGTAACCAAGAGCCACCTACATTGGGTCTCCAGACCGTATGTGCTTGCAGGCAGTCTGGATCACTGACTCGCAGGCCTCATTCAGCGCTCGGTCAATGCGGTAATCTGCGCCAGGGTCGGTTTCTTGAATCAGTGTTTGAAGCTGGAAGAAAGAAATTAGGGATAGGAAAACAAATTACCAAAATTATCAGAACAAGAGTTCTTGCAACCTTGCAGCGTGGCAATTCTATGCCAACAACACCGCTACCAGGTATGTCCTCTACTTGACAGTTGCTTATTTGAAGTGCTTGTGCTGCCAACTTGGTTGCCAGACACGGGAGTTCAGCACTGCTGAATCCTAATTATCTTTACAAAGTAGCCCGGGAACACGGGGTGAGACCGATTGCATGCTGAAGGTCAACTGTAAACCTGGAACACTTACAGTTCAGTTCGCTTATAGGTCTGATTTACAAAACAGACCTAGTAAAATTTGAATACTGTATTCCTGATCCATCTTATGCTTTGGTGGCTACTTCGTCCCATAAGGCTGATGGTACCAAACTTTGTCATATTTTCGTGGAGACTATCTACAACTGAAACCCAAATCAATTTTTAACTATCAGTTGCCTAACTACAAACACATCTTAGAACAGTTTGTTTAATTGCCTGGAGAGGTCACAGAAGTTTTACTGAAATACAGGATAAAACATCCTGCTCTGCTGCCGCCAGTAGCATTTCCTCAGGGATGCTTGCTCAAGCTTTTGGAAGCGAGGTCAACCACAATTTGGTCTATAGTACAGCATTATTTTTTTATTTATATATATACATACATGTATGTATATATGTAAGATAAGAGCAGGGCACTAGGTTTTATCTGCTTAAGAGAAGTCATGGTATAAGCAAAAGATGAAAACAAAAACTCTCCAAAGATTTAGAGAGCAGGTTGCCAACTTGAAGCTGTGACATCCCAGCAGCACTCCCTTTGTGACTTCTAAATCCTTTCAACTTTGCAGGTAAATACAGTGCGAACAGTTTCATCAAGACTTTTCTAGTTGCAGAAAGTTAAAGCTTCAGAAAAATAATTGTCTCTTACTAATAAGGAAACATACTTCAGCATCCACAGCACTAAGTTTCAAAGTCTGTGAATTCCCAAAGGCTGACATAGGGCAGACTGGTATCATCATTTGACAGGAAAGCATGTGTAGTAGAGGAAGGGGGTGGGGGTGGGGTGGGAAGAAAAAAAACCCAAACCAAAACCAAACAAAAAAACCAGAGCTTGCTTAGAAGGCAACCCTACACCAACATCAGATGGTCTACACTGTTAATATCTTGACACACTTGATGACTTCTGTCCCTTCCAACCCAAACCAGTCTGGGATTCTATGACCTATGAAGTGGTATGTCCTTTACTAACTTTGTAAGAGTCAGTGGGAGAAGAAGAATCCATTTGTTCTGCTCGTGTACAGGCACAGCCTGCATGTAATAGAGGGCAATACTCTGCAGATAAAGTGATGGCATCTGGTGTCAGATGTTTACATATAAAAAGGGATCAAGTACTATCAGGGGAATTACTCCCTCAAGGACCAATGGGTAAATAAAACCTCAAACCTGACACTTTCTTACACACACAGCTTAAATAAACTGACCAAAGCATTATATAGGCAGGATTCTTCCACAGGTCTCAACTGGTATTCTTGGTGCTACCAAGTGGAAGAGGCCAAAGCGCACCAGGTACATCAGCTCAGAAACACCAGATCATCTCCCAGTTCCCCCTGCCCTGTTTCAGGTACTACTGGAGCATTCCCATTGCTGATTCTCAACAAAGTGCAAGATGTGCAGCAGCAAGCCTGCTGCCCTGTCTGCAGGGGTGAGGGAAAAACTTAGCACCAGTGCTAAAAGTCAAAGGCCTTATAGGATTTTCCTCCCTCCCACAACAAACCCTTGCAAGCTGAAAAGCAGCTGGATAAGCTTTATAATCCTATGAACTTTTATTCTGATATGGAGCTAAATTAACAATTAAATATCAATTTATTAGCTGCATTAGAAATTGGAAGCAGAAATACCTGTCCTTTTAGTAGGAATTATAGTTTTACATGCTTAAGGGACTGAAGAGAAAAAAACAAAGATAAGACCAGAGCAATAGAAAACCCATATATTTGAAAAACAGTTTGCCAGCAGCTCTAGTATAAAATATTACTTCCACTAAGCAACTCCACAGGTGCCAGACACTGCCAGTGCAGCTGCAGACCTTTTTAAGAGCTGATGCTCACAATCCAGGGACTCACATATCTGCTGCCAGAGGACCTACAGCACCACACAGGATCTCCATCTTCAAAGAACAGCGTAACGATGATATTTGCAGAAGACCATTTAATGACTGGAACATATCCAAGATGTATATGCTTCCCCAAAGCAAAGAGCAGCTTGTTTTACACAGGAAAACATGCTCCAGAAGTAGTACCTCCTTTTGATGATATTTTTTCCTTAATAAAACGCACACCTCTACAGAAGTACATCAATAGTACAAGTAATAGAGGCCTTATCCTATGAGGAGGAAGCTCATTCTAACACAATAAATCAAAACAGAACAAACCCAGTAACAACTGAGGCAGCCACTACCACTGAATACAAAAACATGAACAATACATGATTTAGTACCTTAGAAGCTGTAGACAGCTATACAATAGCACCACGCCAGCCCTCAGGAACCCAGAACACTGGAATGTTTAGCCTATTCTTGCAATCATCTATTTCCTCTTTCCCATAAAAATACCAACAAACTAATTGTATTTTATAAAATTAACACCTAATTTGCTGTGATTTGCACAGAGAATAGAACAAAGGCCATTTAACTTGAAGGGGACTCATGGACAAGCCCTGCTGTTGTACCAACTTACTGTACAAAAATAAAACAGCAGTTTAAGAGAACTGAAAAAAATAAACCCTATAGATTTTTACAGACATCCTTTTCCTCCCAAAGTGTGAAATCTCATCTCTTTTGGGGTCTCTGCCTTGACTTTCGACTTGTTCTAAACATGCACTTCATGATCAGGAAGTTGTTCCCAAACTGAACCAATCTTCTGACAATTTGCAATTGATCAAGTTGTGAGGCTGCAAGTTCAATTTCACATTTAAATAGAAACAAGTACCCAGCCTTTCACACAAACACTGCACAGCATAAGTCATGCACTATAGCTCACCACAGAAATGACTCTGCACCAATCTGAGCCCAGCTGCTGCACCAGCACACCTGGTATTTATGCAGAAATAAGCTCCATCAAAAAGGCATGCTGTGCCTTAAAAAAATTTAACAGATATTTATTTATCTTTGATTACATACACAAACTGGCAACATTTCAGGCTCAGGCTTTAAGCACCACTGTCACTGAAAATGGACTACGGTGGTTCTGTGTACTGTAAGAGGTGAAGAGCATAAATCTCCCTACATTCTTAGATGGGCACTAACACTCCCTAGCCATTTTTGGCATTGATGTCACTTTTCCAGGCTCACAGGCTACTAAAAGCAGGTATTAAGTACAAAAAAATAATATCCCATTGAAAAGCACTAATGATTTTGAACAAATACTAAATAATTGTTTTCAGTTTAAAAGGATTACAAACAGGATGCACCTGGGCTAAAATGGATGTTGAGAAAAAGAAAAATTATCCCATTTTAAAATGGTATTTTGGAGAACAACATTTCCTCCAGTGGCTGCAATGATGAAGATAGGCAGCAGTGCATTGTACTTACCTGCCCTAAATCCAATCTCCATCTTTTAAGCTGAACAAAATAGCAAAAAGAAAACTGAATGGAAAAATGCTTTGATAAGATTTAGTGCACTTCCAAGGACAGGGCATAGGGGGAAAGGGAAGGAGAGGGAATGTTTTAAAACTTATTAAAAAAGCAAGTTTTGCTACATCTTGCACCAAAGAGAGAATTCCATGACTTAAGAGCTGCTGCAGAAGAACTACTGGAGAGCCAGTACAAAACCCAGAGGAAAACAATCCAAAATGTACTTTTTGAAGGGACCCCCCCCACAATGCTAATGTGTTGCTAGATACCAAGTTACACTTCACACCACAACTGTTATTCAACTGCCTCCAACATGCACTTGTACCCAGCAGACCCAGGCTGCCTTCAGCATTGCAAGACAAAACATTAACAGACAAATCTGCTTCTACTAACTGAGCAACCTCAAAGGGAAGCAACAGAAAAGCTGGAGTCCTCTGTACAGGAAAGACTTGGACCTGCTGGAGAAGGTCCAGAGGAGGGCCACAAAAATGACCAGCGGGCTGGAGCACCTCTCCTGTGAGGAAAGGCTGAGAGAGTTGGGGTTGTTCAGCCTCAGAAGGCTCCGGGGAGACATTATAGCAGCCTTTCAGTTCTTGAAAGAGGCCTATAAAAAGATGTGGAGAGATTTTATAGCAGGGCCTGTTGTGACAAGACAAAGGGTGATGGTTTTAAACGGAAAGAGGGAGATTCAGGCTGCCCATGAGGAAGAGATTTTGTACAATGAGGGTGGTAAAACACTGGCCCAGGTTGCCTACAGAGGTGGTGGATGCACCATCCCTGGAGACATTCAAGGCCAGGCTGGATGTGGTTCTGGGAGACCCGATCAAGTTGAAGATGTCCCTGGTCATTGCAGGGGACTGGACTAGATGAGCTTTGACAATCCCTCCCAACCCAAACCATTCTAGAATTCCATGATCTTACCGCCTGCTGACAATTCATGCCAACGTTTCCCTTTTCGCCCCGCACTACTTTCATGAGGCAATGCAAGGTGCGCCCCTTTCGGTGCAGACCAGAGCAGTGGTGCTCAATCTCCCCTCGGCAGCTCAGGATGATTTCGGGGCTCAGTGAGAAGTCTTCCATTAGCATGCGCCGGTAGTCCAACATTTCACCCTGGCACTCGCTGCTCACTTGTCGACCTGAGCCAAGAGAAGACGCCATGAATCAGTATTAAGGATTAGCAGAGGCCTTCTTGACCTATGTTACCATCATGCTGGAGGAAGAGGGATGATGTCCATACTCTGGACAACACCGGAATGCAACAGATGTGCTAAAGCAGATGTGGTGGGAATTAAACCAGTTGTTAGCATAGCACCCGTCATTTAACTGTAAAATACAGCCAGTCTATGTATTCAATATATGGTTTTTGTAAAGGATTCCTGAAAGATTAGAAGAATCTCATTTTGGATTTTGTTTACAGGAGTTGCTTCTGAAGAGAAGCTGAAAACGCTCAGTGGATCTGCAGGTCTGCTTTTTCCTATGTGGTCAAGGGCTCACTCTTCAAGTGGAATTTACCTCTGGTAACTGACCAGTTTGGCATGTAATTGGGAGAGGGATCTGTCTGGACAGCAGGTCAAACATTTTATCTGAGGAGGAGGTTTTCTAGTGCAACAGCACATACTTTCTCAGGAAGCCAAGAACAGAACATGTTACGAAGAGCATACATGGAGCATCTAGCAAACCACTGTTTGCACAGAAATCTAGCTTTAATAAATGCTTAGATCTGCTATAAGCTTTCTTATGCTCTCCATGCAGACAATTTGCTTTTCTTTTTAATCAAAAGGAGCAGGTTGGCTTTTCTCCAATGCCTTTTTTGGCTTTTTCCTAGCCCCTATCACAAGTTATTCACAGGTGTACAAAGCCCCATGCAACAGAGGTCCTACACCCCAAAAGGGGCTCCCAGGCATTATAATACAGACACATGGAGGTGTGTGGAATAACAAGGGTTCCTCACAGGCTATGCTTCTACATAAGCCACATGCTGCACAACCTGTTCCACTGTAGAAGTAGCAATTCGTAACTGAACAGCAGTTTTCTGAATGTAATTCAGGAACACACTTGCCCTACTGAAGGGAGAAGGGAAAAAAAACACCCACAACTTTTCCACAAACAGGACACATCATTTCCACATCGATCAGAAGCAGTAAGTTATTCAAACTCAAAATGCACAGATCGCTTATGGTGTTACAGCCTTTTCCTCCCATATCAGAGGTACTGCAGCATGCAGCCCTGCTGCTGCATCAGAACTGCTCAGCTGCACACCAAGCAGAAAAAAAACAAACAACTCTGCAGTGCAGATTAGAGGATATAACATGTAATTTTACATCTTATGGTAATTTCAGAGAACCTTTAGCATAGGTCCTGCTGCATATGGCCTTCTAATGCCTCCAGGCCAGGTGCTGGTGTTACAACATCTCCAACTTGCACGAACATAAATGAACAAAAATAATATTCTCACACCTATCTTCCTTCTCTACAGGAAAAATTAGGGCTAGAGAAAGTAAGGCATTTACCCAAACTGCTGAACTGCAAGGAGAGAACATTACTTACAAGAGGCAGAGGACTGAGTACCCCTGACTTCCCAGGAGTGATGATAAACAGGTTGTCTATACTGTATTTTATCCTAGTAGTATATTTAATGCTTACTATATAAAGAAGGAAAAAAGTTTCTTGAATTCATGGTGAATAGAACGATTTGCAATTACACACCCAAGTGGGATTTGCTATTTTGCATTTGAAACTTCTTGTCTACACAATAGCAGTCAGCATCAGAGATTTACTCAGCTATTCTGATCTTTACAACGGTGGTGATTAAAGCCTTATGATGAGGAAACT